GAAAGCGAGCCGAGACCTGGCCACCGTTCAGTGCATGGCTCTGAAAGCGAGCTGAGACCTGGCCGCAGCTCAGTGCGTAGCCCAGGGGTGTCAGGGGATGGGCTGTGACCTCGCCGCAGCCCAGTGTGTGGTCTACGGGGCCCAGAGGTGGGCTGAGACCTGGCCGCATCTCAGTGCACGGCCCAGGGGGCTGGAAGGCAGGCTGAGACCTGGCTGCAGTTTGGTGCAGGGGCAGAGAGGGCAGTAGAGGGGACTGGTGGTGCAGAGCAGTCGCCAGCCAGCCCCTCGCTCTGCTCGGAGGCAGCTGCAGGAGAGCTGTGCCTCTGGGGGGGTGCCCGCGCCCCGGTGCAGCAGGCAGAGCCGGCTGGATTTGCCTGCTCCCTCCCAAGCAGGAGAGGGGCTTTAACCGCACACCTGTGCAGGCAGCAGGAGCTTTGCCTGGGTTGGTTTGCAGTCATTAATTCTTAGTATCTGTGAGGATTGTTTACTGCCCCTGTTCAAAACCTCGTCCCTTTTAGATGCTAATCAGCTCTTGGCCTCCCTGGTTTAGGTGTTGCGTAAATGTGTAATGAAATGACTGTCTCCAGCCCCAAAACTGAACTGTGCAGGGCATGGCTTGGTGTGGACCTGGTGCTGGGGGAAGGCAGCATACTCGGTGGGCCTGGCTATTGGACAGCCAGATGACCTGATTCGGTTGTTACGCTGTGTAATCTGGAGCAGACTGCTTTTTTTTTTTTCTTCCCCCTCCATGCTGGTTTCTCCTTTTATAAGATACAGGTGCTAATACTTTTGGCTGGTCAGAAAAACAGAAAAGAAACAGATTTCTGCATTTCTTGAGATGGCTTTGCTTACTCTTGTTAGACTACGTGTTAGATGGATCTTGCTGTGTAAACTGCTTCTCAAGATGATGGGTGAAAACAGAGCAGATTTTTATTAGCTGCTTTGCAAAACAGAAATTACGAGGGGGGTGACAACAGTGAAGCTTGCTCTAGGCAAAAAGGGGAAAGAGGATGTTGGGGCCAGGCTAATTGGGGCCATACCTCTTGAGACTGGTATGAGTCTGGACTGAATAGTACCCATCCAAACAGGTTTTATAGGAGGAGGAGGAGGAGCAGCCCAAGACTGGCTGGGACTAATTTACTCATTTCCCTCCCAAAGGCTGACCCGAAGACCTGTATCAAGGAGTTGCACAAGAGGAGGAGATAGAAGCTGGAAGCTTTCTGAATGTGCTGCCCACAGACTTAAGGCTTCTTCAGAGACTCAAGATGACTTGCCAGGGGAGATGCTTTCTGGAGGGGTTGTGCTGAAGACAGAGCACTGTAGCCTCTAACTGGGACAGCTCCTGCTGGTCTGGAGCTGAGACTGACTTCTCTCCCTCCCTTTTCCCTTGGAGATGTTGCAGAGATTTAATCTGACCTCTTCCTCCTCACCCGAAGCCTGCCGTGGCGATGATCCGACAGCCAGATCCGACCACCAAAGAGAAGAGAATTGTGCGTTTGAAGCTGGGCCGTCGTTGTAACTGAACTGGAATTTACTCCCTGCTTGCGCTCCTGTAACGAGTGCCGTTCCTCTGCTTGTCTGTGTGTGTTTTGAGCTGCTCCTCCCTGATCTTGTTTGGAATTCCTGGGCTTTCCACGCTGAATTTGCCCATGGCTTTCCTGATGAAGAAGAAGAAATTCAAGTTTCAGACAAGCTTCACTCTAGAAGAGCTGACTGCTGTCCCCTTTGTGAATGGGGTTCTGTTCTGCAAAATCAGGCTGCTAGATGGAGGAGACTTTGCTAGCTTATCTACCAGGTAAGAAGTTGCTTGCAGACTTGCTTCCTGGCTGTGCCTCTTTTTTTTTTCTTCACTTGAGCAGTTTAGCATATGGCTACCACTTGCCTACCCCTTGGTGGGATTTTAATAGTTCTGTTGTAGGGCCCCACATGCCACATCACTCTCCGGAGCCGGGGGAGAACATAGCTGGAGAGCTCTGAACCTGGGTGGTGTTGGCTGATCAGAGCTGGATTGAGTCTTTCAGAGATGTGGGGAGGGAGTGGGAGGTCGCTCCCCTTAAAGGGACTGGCGTTTGTGGGTGAAATCCTCTCTTACTTTTTCTCTCCCTCCTTGCCCGAGTTCTTGCGTGCTATTTCAGTCCCTGTGCTATATTGCTTTCATGCCTGACATGAAACTCAACTCTGTAGAAAACTGTATCTAAGCAAATCAATCCTTCTCAACTTTGCTCTCCCCCTTTGCTTCCGAATTACTGTTCTTCATAAGAGTGGAAGTAGCTTGCTTTGCATTGCAAATTACTGTACGAGGGAGAACTGCTGCCTGGAGTCAAAGTTGTCGGTGTTAAAGACAGTTTATCTCCTTGAACTGATGCCATTGCATCTCCAAGTTTATAGCTGGAGTGTTTTCTTTTTTATGTGATCTGTCATATTGCGATCGTTCTGCTGCACATTTTATAAGGTTGTTCTGCCATTGTGTCTTGGCATTTCTCTGACTCCTTCAGGCAGGTCTGACCCCACTCCTGCTACTAATTGCTAATAGCAACTTGCTTTGTTTCCAACTATGCACCAGCAGTATGCAAACGTGAATTCCATAACAGCCTGGACTTGCTTTCAGCCTCAAGATGTGAAGGAAACCTTCAGTGGTTTTCAAAACTTGTTTTTTTGCTTTCCTGAGTGACTGCTCAGTTTTTAAAGGTACAGGGTTAGTTTGTGCTAGCTGTTAACTGCTTTATCCCAGAGCTAAAGCGTGGTTTGGTCTGGATTTCCTCTTTGTGGTGCTGCACACTCAGCTTTCTCATTTCAGGAGAGAAGATTTTATTGGGCAAGCATATAACATTTCTGTCTTGCAAATAGAAGTGGTAGGGCATTGCTCAAAGCTTGGTTTTAATTCCAGAGGCGCGGTGCAACCTCATCTGGAGTCTGTAGAGGCCGTGGGTGTGGAACACCTCCAAAAATGGACTTTGAATTAATTTATCTTTTGAAGAAAATCTATCAAAAGAGCTTTTCCTTACAGTGTTCTCCCCTGAGGCTAGATCGTTGGGTTTGATGGAAGCAGCTTATCTAAGGAATTCAAACAGTATGTGAACTTGGAAAGAAATTAACCCCTCTGCTTCCTGGAGTCATAATAAAATGAATTGAACTGGAGAGTGTCTCAGGAAAAGCCTATGCTGAGAAATGTCGATCTCCCCCTCCTTGTCATCCCTGAAAGCATCTTCTAGGAGCTGTCGCTGGGGTCTGCTGATGCTTCCAGCCGTTTGGGTTGCATTGGGTTGTTTTCTGAGCT